TCTTCAAATCGTCTCAAAGTATCCCAAATCCGCGCCTGAAAAAAGTACATATGTTCTGAGCAACATACAAACTATATCGATGTACTTCTAAGTAGAAATAATAAACTATGTTATTAATCAGTAAAAAAATAGTGTACACTTCTTGCCAAAATAAATATTTCTGCCGTAGGCACAACTTAGCCAAGGTTTTTAAACAACATGTTTAAGATATATGTAACGATAGTGCCGTATATATAATAGTATCCTTGTTTTAGCTTACCCTTCCTCCTGTCGGTTTGCTGGTTCGTTGCGGTGTTGTCCTTTCAATGTAGTAGAGTCATTTCTTCCGTTGCGAAAACGAAGTAACAGAACGGAATGTTTGACGCCATTTTAGTTCAGGAACATACTAGTAATCTTTGCAAGCCGAGACAAACGTGTTTTGAAAAAGCAAACCGTCGTTGTGACAAAGCAAGATTCAAACGACCCACCAAAACAAAGCATCGCGTCTCTTATTGGCTGGTCCCGGCGAGAGCGAGGTAGGATTGGTCGTCAGTCATATAATCACGTGATCGCGTTCAATACTACAACCATCTTGTTTTTATATTATAGGTTTTAAGTTAAATCGCCTGTGCAGTCTGAACACTTGGATGATAGGATGTTTCTGATTGTGTGAATGTATTTATTTCAAGGCAGACAAATGATCTTCATAATTCTAATTCGTCATGATTACATGGCTTCATTCGTTCTAGAATTACACAACTTGTCGCTCACTAAGTGAAATAAAACCGCACTTCAACTCCAACATAACCTTACTCTTTGTAAATGTATCCAAAATCCACAATTAATGTCATGAGAGTTGACTTGTTTTGCTGGATTTCAGTATTTTACCAGGCATGGGGACGCTGTAAGTTCTCCCTTTGTTTACACAAAGGCTATTCACATAAACGGACGCCATGTCAGACACATCGCAATACACATCGACCGAACTACAATGTAAAGCTTGCATATTATTACCCATACATGTACCTAAAAATCATAACAAACTGATCAGGTCATGTTAGTTCAAACCCCTTTAGTCAAGCGTTTGATTACATCATGGTAATGAACCTCACGGATAAACTATTATTTCCAAAATAAAAATTCAGATTTAGACCGGAGTGTAGATTTAGGTCATTTTGACCGAGTAGGTCATATAACCCCAGCGTCGGGGCGCCCTACGCTCAAATGTGCTTTGTCGTATGGACGACATCACGATAAATCAAGCCAAGGACGCATAGGTTCAAATGTTGTATTAACAATCCTTGATCATTCTATATCTAATTTGCTTAGATTGAAGTGCTGGCAACTTTGGTTCAAGTAATTATCACCTGAAACATGAATACACGCAGTACCTATAGCTAATTACCCCTTATTGTTAGCCGCTCCCCAACACACGCCAAGTGTGCGGGGCGTAAATTTCCGTGCACGTGCACGGCGAGCACGAATCCGGGAGTGTAAGGAAATATCCGGGCCGGCACACGCGGAGCCCGGAAATCCATTGACGCGACCAGGACACGGCGAATTTCACGGGCGTGTGCGGGACTGGAAACTCTTGGAAACGTGGTTTTTCATACAGTGGAGTGTCTTGTATCTTTGTCAAGTTAGGTACAATACCAACTGTTTGTATCTGTATGAAAAATTGTCAAAATTTGGAATATATGATCAATATAAAATTTTGTACAGGTATAAACTTGGTCAATGAAAGCATTTATAACAAGAGTTCCACGATCTCATACCTTCGCCAAATGATCTTAACCCTTCCGACTGAGAAATTATTTATTTTCTCCTTGATTTTCTGTGGCCATCTTATCTTCACAGAAAGCTATTATAGCATTTCCTCATAAATTATGCAAATGACGTCCTGATTTGAATAAATGTTCAATAGGCTTATGGTATTAGCAGTCCTGAGGAGAGTTGTTGCTGTTGCAGGTTTGACCGTTGCCTGCTGACGGCCAGCCAGCTGACGGCTCCGGTGGGTGGGGAGGGGGGCGAGGAGTGGGCTGCAGTCCTGGAGGAGATGACAGGACAGATCTACTGGCTAGCCGGGACACTGCTACTCAAACAGGCACAGCAGGCAAGTTCTAGATAAATACACAGGGTTCTCACTAGGATTTTTTTACAGCACAGGGGTAAGATACAGAAGGATAAATTTGGTGGCACAAGTCGCACATTGAGCAGAAAAAATTTGAAACCCACAACCCCCTGAGATACTATTTCTTGTTTATTGAGGGTCAGATTTTGTGAAGTTGAGGCTATAGCTTCATTCTAAAGTTATAGTTTCATTTTATGCAAGATACATGAAGGTTCTTTCCCAAAAAAACACCCCTAATGCTGGTTGAAAGATATCATTAGGGGTCCAAATCACAGCATAGGGAGTCCATATTACAGCATAGGGGGTCCCTATGCTCAAAAGGCCTGGCGAGAACACTGAATGGACATTTTATGTGAATAGTTTCATCAGGTTGGTAAGTCACTGAGTAAAGAGACTCTTTTTACATCCGCATTGTACATTTGGAACCACATTGTATAGATACAGTTCCCTGTAACCATGCATAATGACTAGATACATTGTATCGAAATATTGTATGTTTGGGAATACATCTATAGCAGTGACACCTGTGCTGCAGTGCAATGTCAACCAGTCAGAATTGCCCTGAGGAAGGTGACAGACGGTCACCGAAACGTCGGCTAAATGAAAGACTTGGTTGTGTAAAAAGAGTTTCTTTACTCAAATAGACATTTTATATCCCCTTTATATATCTAGTTCTACTGTATAAGATTTGTAAAACATTCTTCTATTTAATAATCAACAGAGCAAAGACCATAACAGAGGCTTTATGTTGTACATGTTTAGGGCCAGCTGACGTGGACAGATGCTATGCCCCTGGTGACTGCATGTTATTTAGTGAGTTACCAGTCTGCTGCTCCTGACACACGGGCACCCTGGGTTACTATGGCTGACCCCGCCCGGCAACTGCCCCCGCCCACCTGCTGGTATGACCTGGCCTGCTGCAGGCTCAGCCAAGTTGGTACGTCCTCCATTTTCTTCTAAACCATGCTTCAGGGCTCGTAATGCTGGGTTCACCTTAGTGCATCCAAAATTGTGCACCCAATTTTTTTCTGTGAGTGCACCAGTGCACCCAAAGATGTTAAATGTATATAGTATACAGCGTATTCCTGACATCCAAGTCTCAGAAAGTCTTTGTTATAGTATTTTTCTTAAGATTGGACAAAATATTCCTTGTTTGAGAGCTTTGGGAACCCTCATAGCAAACAGATTATTTCCACCGCAGGCCACATGCTGGAGAGTCTACAGGTGGACCAGGGCAGTGACTGGGTAGAAGACTGCCAGTTGAAGTTCTGTAATCCGCAGGTAACGTCTCCATATTTCACTTTGAATGTACATGTACCTGTGTGTCATGCAGTTTCTTCATAATCTGCCAGGTGTCTCTTCTTGAGTTTTACCCGCCCAAAAAATGTGCGTGGGTGACAAAATCTACTACTATTTTGATTGAACAAATAATTAGTGGGCATAGAAGATGAGGGTGTTTATTAAGTAGATGTATTGAAGGATAAAGTTAGATTATTATGTTTACCAAAGCAAAACATATGGTTTTTGCTCTGTTTCTTCTTCTTCCGTTCCAAACACTGACCTGGTCAATGACCTGAACCAGACCGTCTGTCACCATGGTAACTGGTGTTGGGTTACGTCATGTTGCAGGGCCGAGAGCGAGTGTTCTACGTGCTGTTTGGGTACGGCACAGACAACAGCCGGTCGTTCCTCCTCACCAGCGACTCGTTTTCTCGTCAGGACATCGAGCTACCCGACACAGACGACCTCATACAGTACGACATGGGTAAGAAACTCCAGCCTCCTGTTTCTGTAAGAGATCTGTATCTGTATAGCCGGTATAACCGCCTTTCGGCGTAACACAGCACCAGCTTCGCAGGCACACGGCGCGGCGGCAGCTGGCTATATTACACCAATCGACTTGTTACACCTAACCATTGAACTTCTTACTCGAGACAGTTAAAAGCTATCTAATGACAATGCCCCTACTGTACTTGGTGACAGTGCATTCCACTCTGCGATACTTGTAGGAAAGAATGAATTTTTGCCCACTGGGCAACCTGGTTCAAAAAAGTATTTTGTACACTGAGTATGGTGTTGTCTATGAATGTTGATATGGTAGGAATGATCTGTAATGGTTGTGATATTTGTTGTAGTTGCCGTCCATGACCAGCCTGGAGAGCTCCAGCCTGTGGTGTGGCTGGGGTTACAGTGGTTCAGTACTGAGGACAACATCCAGCCTGACTGTAAGTCATTTCCTGCACCCTTCAGTGGACCACGTCGGCAGAACGTACTGCACCTGCACAAAACTTGTAATGTACATGTATTGTGCATAGCACTTTGGCAGAATGGCTCTTACATGTAACATGTATGAGGTTGTATTGGTGTACATGTATGTAGGGTTAACATCCCTCTTACTTACTTAGTTCGAGCTCCCGCTCGAACCAATCCTGAGAGTTGTCTCCAAAGCACTTTGTCCTCCATGGCCTTCTTTATCTCCCTGGTGTCCTGTAAGTTTCTCTGTAGTTTCAAAATGTTGTGTCGGAAAAAATATATTCTGCAACAGGCCAAAATTCTGATGCAACGTTACCAAAACGTCCAGCGAAAACCGTGAAAAATCATGTTTTTGCACAGGCGCAGTACGTTCTGGCGACATGCTCGTCAGTAGGAAAACTAGGGGGATCAGTGGTAGAATGTTGTTCAAGAATTCCTAGCATTTGTCGTTCATTTGTTTATTTGCGAAAGGAGAATGCAGTCTCATAATTTTGCAGGTAGGAATAAGCCCTGGTCTTAAAAGTTAAGAACGTGTGAATAGATTTTATGAAACATTTAGCTACAGATATTTTGTCACCATTGTGAAATATAGCCCATGCTGCTATGGTAGAGATCAGCAATTCTTAGAATGCTGTCACTTCATTTTGCACTGTCAGGGTTGGACAAGTTTGCAAAAATCCACTTTCCCTATCGGGCAAGTACATTGTCATTTTCACTTGCCCGAACCAACTTTTTACTTGCCCAAACCATTATGTATTTCCATGCATTTTACTTGCAGAAAGAAAATTATTTTATTTTTCATTAGAGATTGAAGTTTATAATGTTACTTGCTTTATTTACCAATATACGCCAGGGTACTTAGAGACTTTGTTTCTGACAAAAGGGTATATTTTTGACTGGTATCAATATAATATCTTTATTTGAAAATGATGTGTAATTTTTCTCCAAACGGTGCATTTAAAATTTACTTGCCCAATCGGGCAAGTGACGGGGGATATTCACTTGCCCGAGCAGTGCTTTTACTTGCCCTGGGCAAGTGGGCAATGGGACTTGTCCAACCCTGCACTGTTCCAACTGACTGTTTCCCTGGTGTAGGTGGCCTGTGGGTATCTCGGCTATTCCCAGATCTACAGTTCACCACAACAGACCTCAAATCTGGAGCTCCACTGTCAGTCTGCCTGCTGGATATACAGGTAAATATACTGCAGACCCTTGTATTGCTGTCAGTTTAAATTTTGAAGTTGTTTTTCATATCTCAGTCAAAGACACCCTAGGTTTCAACTTGTTACTTTCTCATCAGCTGAAGTGTGCTTGTATTATATGCTTGAATGTAGTTGTAATCCTGAGTACTACAATGTAGTTTGTCAGGTATTTTGAATTCCTGGTATAGCTATAAAGTAACTAACACTTCTGTGTGACACAATTTTAGGCCTTGTGTTATTGTCTGTCAGTATCTGTATTTATGGCTGTTTGATACAATTTTTTTTTACAATGTACAGTAATTAAGGTTCAGGACCCTCCCTAAACAAGGGTGCTCCCCCTCTCCCCCAAATCCTAGAACCTGTCCCAAAATGTTCAAATTTAGGGTTTTCTCTTAGTATTTACATGAAAATTTGCTGATTTTTCATCAACCAATGGACCTATACCATTATTACGTCACAGTTTGTTTACCGCAATGAATGCCGGTCAATCGACAATTTTATTGTACAGGGGTGCGTAGCGCAGTGTGTGTTTGTGTAGCGTTAGCCTAATATAAGGCTTTTAATACAGTACTACTTTCATCTAATGTCACAACTAAATCACCCATGCGGCATGTAATGCTGTGTCAACACAACTAGACGCAGCAAAAATCAGACATACCTTACTTTGAAAACTTTGAAATGATCTTTATTCTTTAACTGACCGTTCTAGAATGTTCATTAGAACAGGTAAACAAACTGAGACGTAATAATGGTATAGGTCCATTAAGGAAGGAGCACCTCTCCTGTCAGAATTTATGGGGAGACCCCTGAGGCTAGACTCCTATCAGAAACTTATTTCTGCTGAATTTTCCCCCAGGCCTTTGTGTATGCGACTGTATACACCAGCACCCTGCAGCTACAGCAGGAGAACATCCCGTACGGTCAGATGGAGCCCCGGGTCCTCCCCCTGCCTCTGTCTCGCTTCCTCTGCTCACAGGCACAGAGGGACTGGTGGAGCGCCACCTACAGGCTGTACACTGGAACTGCAGAGTAAGTAAAACTACATGTACATGTGCATTCTTTACATTGTATGAAAAGTGTTAGAATAGTATGTTGTTGGAATCTCCTGTCGATGCGACAGATGAGGTAATCATAGGCATACAGGTAATCATTTGCCAAGGTGGGTCCTCATGTGAGAATAATAAGAATAATATGTAGTCTAGGGAGCACGTCGGCAGAATGTACTGCGCCTGCGCAGAACCCTGGATTTTCGCGTTTTTCGTTGGATTTTTGGTCAACGTTGCATCAGAATTTTCACTGTTGCAGAGGATATCTTTTCCGACACAACATTTGGAAACTACTGTCGAAATGCTAACCTTATATGAGTAAATACGACCTTATATGAGACATTCTGCCGAAGTCCTATGTACAATACATTACGGGTTTCGCGCAGGTGCAGTACGTTCTGCCGACGTGCTAGTCTAGGGTTATTTAGCGGAGAAATCATTGGGAGATCTCTGTATTTAGATTGAAGCTTGTGCAGTAAAAATTAGTACTAAAAAGTATTACCAGTTCTTTGAGGAGATTACCGACATTTTCTATGGAACCAGATCATTCTTGAAATTATTCTTTTCTGGTTACACTACCAGGATGGGGACTCTGGCCAAGCAGAAGCTGACACTACAGCGGGGGCTGGAAGTGGTGCGTTGTGTCGGGAACCACGGTCTCCATGCCAACCTCCTGGTGCACCTGGCTGAGACATTCGCCGCACGAGTATGTGCCTCAAGTTGTTCATTTCATCGCCTATGAAACTTGTGATTAATTGTAATTAGCTCTTTTTCCTATGAAAGTGTCAGTGAAAATGTACTTAGGTTTAGAAGTTGCCTTGCACTGGGACCTGAATTACACACTTGGGTGTGCATCATTACATATACAAGTAGTCAGGGCTCAAAATACTGGCTGCATGTGCACCTTAGTGCACCCAAAATTGTAGCTGTGCACTCAATTTTTTTTGTAGGTGCACAGCTCTGTAGGTATTTTTGTACATATGAAATGTATAATTGTATACAGGATATTCTTAGCGTGCAAGTGTCAGAAAAATAATAAAGTCTTTGTTGTAGTACTTCTTTAACTTTAAGATTTTGAAGTTACATGTAGCTCCCATTTCTGATTCAAGCTGTAAGAACGTTTTGTTTTGTATGGTGCACCCAAAAAAATTTCTGTGCACCTAATTTTTTAGGTTGGGTGCACCTATTCCCAAAAACGAATTTAGAGCCCTGACAAGGCACAACGCCACATATTTTTTAAACTTCTACTCTTGTTTAACATTTCTGTGCAGATGGGGGAGGTTCAGGAGTCCAGTGAACAGCCGTGGTTCTACAAGGAGCAGTGGTCAGCCCTACAGGAGAGGAGTGCCCACTACTGGAGCACAGTTATACCTCTGCTACAGCGCCTGCAACAGTGAGTTGTCATGTTATTCTTTATTCAAAACAGTAGTCAGCATAGCAGCAGTAAAATAAAAAAAAGTATGGACCGCTGAATTTGGGCTGACCTTACATAATACATAAAAATACAACGTAGGTACGAACAGAACATACAGATTCACGACAATTACAATATGTACAACACATAAAAACTAATTCTGCATTTGACTGTTATAGAGTCTGATTGCGTGATGCAGAAATGAATGTTGAGAGCAAAAGGATCACATAAACAGCATAGACTAGACTAAGACTTAGTGTATTTGATTTGGGAATTGACTGGGGAGTATTGTATGAAGTAGGTAGGGGGTTGTGTGAAATAGAGAATATTGAGACATAGGGCAGTTTTAACCATTAGCACAATCAACTAGAAATTTGGCTACCAATTCTCTATTGGTTGCAGTGTTAGGCAGCAGGGAGAAGGCAAAAGGTTGCAACATTTTTGGCATTGTTGTGGGGTCGTGTGGTGTAACAGAAGAGTGTTCGGCTCAGATCCAAGAGGTCCCGGGCTCGAATCCTGCCTGATGCCACCGATCTTGTGCCCTTGGGAAAGGCACTTTTCCTTCCTTGAGATCATGAAAGGTTTACTTTAGTGGAAACATTCCTTTGAACGTCTGTTTTAATCTGCTACAGAAATCAGGCCGTGCTGACACCCAAGGATCCCCTGTTCCCCCACCTGAACCAAGACGCCCCCGGCTCTAAGATCCCCGAGCTGCTTGAGGAAGGCCGATTGTTCCTTGCGCAGACGGCTGCCCAGCAGGGCAGGTCTGAAGAAGCACTGCAGATGCTGAGGACCATGAACACCGCACAGGCTGCCAGGCACATGGCTCAGGTCTGTCTTTTACATTTGTATTACATTTGTGTACTCTGTGTTTTATGAATCCAGGAAGAATAGATTAGATTTGTTATCTAATCGAATGGATATCTAATAAAACATGAAACATCAACATCAGTCTGGAGGGTGGTTTCATTGGTTTTTACCTTCGCCAAGAAGGTTACGTTTTTAGAGGCGTTTGTGTGTGTGTGTGTGTGTGTGTGTGTGTGTGTGTGTGTCCGTCTGTGGACACGATAACTTAAATGGATTGTTTTGATTCTTGGTAGGTGGGTAGGTCTTGAGAGACCTCAAAATGATTAGATTTTGGACCCCCTTGGGTGGATATGCTTGGAGATTACATGTAGGTGAAACAGACTAGATGTCACAGAGTGCAGATAAATCTAAAAGGACAGTTCACAATCTGTAGTGTTATGATAAAAGGTTTTCAAAGTCCCTTTCCAGGTACGTAGTGAGTAAGTGACTTTCCACAGGATTATTTTGCTGTTGAATAAAAGTCAAATTTTCATCAACCACAAGTTTGACTTTCTTCATTCCAAACAGTTTTTTTAACTACTAGTACAAAATGTATATCACATTCATCATATACATCTATACTAGTAATTCATAGCACCATTTTCCTTGGTCATTCCTGTTTGCAGATCTACAAGTTTCTGGCCAATAAGCAGCTAGAAGACATGGAGGATGCAGATGAGGATGAGGTACAGCAGAAGAGGTCGGAGTGGGAGTCTCTAATGAACAAGGCTAGGAACTGCCTGACCTTGGCACTGGAGAGGCTGGGGGAAGACAAGAACAACGTAAGGATTCTTGACCTTGAGATAAAAATGGGTGGGGTCGTGTGGCGCAACGGCAACGTGCGCAACTCAGAATCAAGAGGTCCCGGGTTTGAGTCCTGACATGCCACCGATCTTGTGCCCTTGGGAAAGGCACTTCACACGACTTTCCTCACTAGACTCAAGTGAAAATGAGTATTGTCTGTCCAGTATTCGTCTCTATGTGCGGGACGCAACACCAGCAACAGCTGCCTCTGTTCCGTGTGTATTGCACAGTTGCAATTTCTATAAATCAAATCAAATCAATCAAATAGCAATTGAACGTTGAAATCATATCAAGGCTCAAAATGCATTTTTAGGAATACATGTAGGTGCACAAATTGGTTGCATAAAATTTTCTTTTGGGTGAACCATTTAAAACAAAATAAGTACATGTAGAATGTCTGCAAAAACTGATGCGTTTTACATGGTTTTCAGACCAGACAGGTTGTTTCACAGCAATTTGAAGCTAAAAAGATATCAGGCGCTCAAAATGCTGAGATACATCTATTTTTTATTTATTTATTTATTTATGAAGATTTACCACATTTGTGGAAGGATTGACATAACAGGACCTGGTGACTATCAAATTTTGCCATATTGGATTTTTAAAGCTTAGGTGCTGTAATTGCTTTGAATAATAACAGTAATTTACACCTTTGTTCTGCACAGCCCCTCTATGTGTCCATTCTGAAGGAGCTCCAAGCTGTTGATGAGGATCTTGGGAAGGCTCAGGATCAGCTAGCAGAGCAGCTGGATGGAGAGGGGAGCCCCCTCTTCACATCCTCTACTGCTGGTTCCCCCCCTAGACAACTCTCAAGGGGGGATGGACGCGTAAGTTACTTTTCTATGGTTTCGCACCTTAAATGCCTGCACTGCACTGCACTGAGTTATGTTTTAGCAAATTTCGTTTTAGTTTTAGAGAGTTTGTGTATGGAAATGGTTAGCATTTTTTCCTGGACCAGAAGCTTTGCAGGTAAAATCCTAGCTTCTTGTGCTTGAGCTGTATGTGTTGTCCCTTCAGAGCCCCGTCCTGGAGTCTCCGTCCAGTGTTGCAGCCCAACTGAAGGCTCTAACGCTGGATAACTCCCGTCTGCTGGAGACCTGCACACGCAGTGAACAGAGAGTCCAGGAGCTCACCGAACAGATGAAGTTCCTCATGGTGACAACATTTTTTCTTTTCTTAATAGACCTGTAAGTTTACCTTTCAGGGATTGCAAGAACTGCTTACATCACAGGGGGGTCATTTTTGATAGAAATTTGGAATCTCCAATGAATACTTGAAGCTGTCTCCACAAGTTACGTCAGATACCAATTTATACATGAACCTGTACATATGTACATGTAGGACACAGTCAAAAGCATTCTTTTAAAAAAGTCATGAAATTTGAAGATGATGATTTGATTAAGGTCTCCAACTTTGGAAATTTGTTGAAAGTTGCTCTTGACTGTCTTGAGTAACAAATGGGGACTTGATAACAATAGAAGCAATATTTTTTGAAATAATTATTTTTTCCAGTTTCAAGGTTTTCACTGAGTCAGACATTCTTGTCCCTTTTTATTTCAACAGGAAGAACTCAAAGACATGAAAGCCTCGGCTGGCACCCCTTCCCGATCAGTGGGCCAGTCCACATCCACCCAGACACCACCTGATGAGAAGACTGCACAGCCAGCTGCTGACGCGTCGTACATGGCCCAGCCGGGCTTTGCCACCCCACACTACGGCTATGCCCAGACCCCGCCGTACGGCTATGCCGCGTACACCACTCCTCTGGCGTATGGTGGTGTCCAGCATGGGTTTGGCACACCGCCGCATGGGTACGCCGGATACAGCGCGCTCCAACACGCTATGTACCACAGCTCCCAGGTGGCAGCCGCAAGTCAGGAGAGCGTCACGCAGGCGCTAGCCGCAGCAACTGGGGTGACGACGCCTGCAAGGGTTCCTGGTGCGGTGCCGGCAGCGGCAAGCATGACGTCCACCCCAGCCGCCACTGTTCCCGGTCACGACCAGACACCGCTGCTGCGATCCCTCATCATGTCCACACCTACCAACACCAAGCCGGCGGCCGCCGTGGCCTCGGACGATGCACAGAAGGGCCCGCCGAACCAGACGATGCGCACCAGCGAGTCCATCTCCTTAACGCGTGTCTCGACCGAACCTTCGCAGCCACTTTCTGTCACCATTCCTCCGGAACACATCAAGTCCCCAGTGTACCAGAACCAGGGGTACTCTCCCAGTGTGCTGCAGGCTTCGCAGCGGAGCTATGTGCACACGGTGGTGCACGGGCCCAGCCCCACGACGCAGTTTGCTGGAACCAGCCCCCGAGCACAGCTACAACAGGGGATGCCGCTTACCACGCAGAACATCCAGGGTTTCGTGCAAGCCTCCCAACCTGCGGCGTTTACAGGGCTGATGAAGCCAGGAGTGGCGACAACAACGCTCCAACCAGGCACACTTCAGCCAGGCATGCCAGGGTACAACCAAGCCATGCAGGCAGCTGCCTTGCGCATGGGACTGGCACAGGGATATCCGCAAGCCGTCAGCCCCCGGGCTATGCAGATCCCTCAGGCACAGCTAGCAGGAAGACCGGGAATCACCACAGGTGTTCCCCAGCTGTCTCAGGGAGGCCAGACTATCCCTGCCACCCAGTCCTTACCAGCAGCAGCTAGTCCACAGAGAGTACAGATGGGGGTTCACTCCAGACTCGGAGTGGTTCCCAGCATCCCTGTCAGTTCCCAGGCCCTGTCGGCAGCAGCTGCCGGAGGCTTCTTCAGTTTCAGCACTGCCTCACAGATACCCGGAACCCAGCTGCCAGGGATCGCTACGAAGTACCCAATTCTCACCACCATGGTGGATCCGAACACTTTCCGATCTACCCCCACGTTCACTGTCCCCAGGAGCTTGACTCCTCAATTTGGGGAGTACTCAGACCAATCAAAATCCCCATCAGAAGAGGAAGAGGTCTCAACGCCTGACTCAGAGGAGCCCTCCGAGACGAATATTCAGATTGGCCCTGGGTATTTCAGGCCACCCGGAGAAACGGAGTCTCCAATAACCTTTGCCTCGATAGTAGGTGACGGGGAGCAGGCCAGTGACCTATCCAAGGAACTGTTTGTAACTGGCGAAGAGCGGATGTTCCAACGTCCAGAAGACGTGGACAGAGAGAACCAGGAGCTCGCGAGTGACGAAGAAACAGAAGCTCACGACGACGGCATCCACTTCGAGCCAATCGTGACCCTCCCAGACAAGGTGGAGCTGAGAACCGGGGAGGAGGATGAGGACACAATGTTCGTTCACCGGGCAAAGCTGTTCCGCTTCGACAAGGACAGCCAGCAGTGGAAGGAACGCGGCCTGGGCAACATCAAGGTCCTGAAGAACCGACACAACAAGCGCTTCCGCATCCTGATGCGCCGCGACCAGGTCCTGAAGATCTGCTGCAATCACTACATCACAGCCGACATGTCCATGAAACCAAACGCAGGCTCGAACCGGTCCTGGGTGTGGGTCGCTATGGACTTTGCAGAGGAGGAGGGCACACAGGAACAGTTTGCTGTGAGGTTCAAGGAGGCAGAAACTGCCCAACTGTTCAAGAGCAAAGTGGACGAGGCTATCCAGGCAATCTCGTCCATGCCTGCAACATCTAGTAAGAAATCTCCGCAGAAGGAACCATCCTCTCCAACAAAACCACTGTCTCCTGGAAAACCGCTTTCTCCAAAAAAGCCACCCTCTCCGACCAAAACTAAAGACCAGGAAGTCCCTGATACTTTTGGTGAGCTGTTCAAGCCGAAGCCAGGTACAACTCCAGAACCAAGCGAGCCAACTTTGTCATTAGGGGACATGTTTAAGCCCAAAGCTGGATCGTGGGACTGCCCAACATGCATGCTTAGCCAATCAGGAGACAAAGATGCCTGCTTGGCTTGTGAAACCCCAAAACCAGGCACTGCACCAAAGCCAGCCAAGTCGGGATTCTCCTTTGGCAGCATGTTCAGTCAGGATGCCGCCAGCCAGCCGACCACCCCGTTTGGTGCAACTGGTGCCGCTGCCAAGCCTGGTGTGGGCACAGCCGCCCAGTCTGGGTTTTCCTTTGTAAGCACTGGCCAGTCGGGTTTCACCTTTGGAACGTCACAGCCAACAGCAGAGAGCACTCAGTCGAAGACAGGGTTTTCCTTCGGGTTTTCCCTACCACAGACATCCACTACATCCCAGAGTACATCGCTAACAGGCTTCCAGTTCAAACCAACCCAACCAGAAACAAGTGATAGTGCCCGATCAGGAGGATTCTCCTTCAAGCTGGACCAATCACAGCCATCTGAGTCAGGCTTTGGACTCAACTTTGGCCAATCGCAGCCCAATGCTCCCAGCCAATCAGGCTTCAAGTTCACCCTCAGCCAATCACAGCCAAGTGAAGGCACCCAACCAGCAACCAGTTCTGAAGGAAGCAAGTTCACCTTTGGTGATGTGAAAGGTGGGCTTCCTGTTGTAGGTGCTGGTAATGACGGCACATTCGGGGGCTTTAAGTTCTCCTTTTCACCTTCTCCTAACACCGCCACCACCACCGTTGCCTCCTCTTTGGCAAGTCAGTTCAAATTCTCCCTCCCTGTGTCCTCAGTAACAGCTGTCACCACTGTGTCAACTCCTGTTGTCAGTATGATCCCCGGGCCACGAACCAGCACCCCTATTGGCACGCCTGAAAAGCAGCACCCAGCTGCCAGGACAGGTAAGTTGTCGGGTATGTTTTGAGTAAAAATAAGCAGCATGCAGCATGTTGAGTTCACATATGGGCTTGTGCATGTGGTGATGACTTGGCAAGGCTTGGTGCAAAAAGGTTAGTTGCATGTCACACCTCTTGTTATATGTTGTTAACTCTCTTATTTCAATAATCAAATTCATTAGTTATATGCTTGTTATCCTATGCTGTAGTCTCTAAGTCTAACCCTAGCTAAAACCAAAGTCTACGTGTACATTCTATGTTTGACAATCCTCGAGCACAGCTTGAAGTTACAGGATGCTGACTGCAGATTTACCTTCACTCTCAACAGACAAAGCCACAGCAGAAGCTGACCCAGATGTTATCTTTGTGTACGAAAAGAAGCCGACCGCAGATCAGATCGAACGTGCAAAGAAATACCTCCTGCCCCCCACGTTCTACCTGTTCGAGGACAAGCCACTTCCGGAGGGCTGGACGGAAGAGGACAAGCTAGACGACAAACCAGAACGTCCTGTCGTCAAGAGTGCGGACACGCCTAGCAACGCCTCAGCAGCAGTAAGCACAACAGAGCCAAGTGAAAGCAACAGCCTCTTTGGTGCAGCGTCGTCCAATCTCATGTTTGCGGACCTAACTGCCGGCAAAACACAGGATTTTGCCTGGGGAAAGTCCGACAAGCCGTTTGGTGGCTTCCAGGGTGCAGGCACGCAACTTTTTGGGACCCTAAACACAAGCCAGGAAAGCGACGAGCCAAACATTGAGGAAGAGCGTGATATCTACTTTGAACCCATCATACCATTGCCAGAAAAGGTGGAACTGATCACTGGAGAAGAAGATGAGAGGGTCCTGTACCAACAACGGGCCAAGCTCTTCCGGTGGGACAAAGGCACCAACCAGTGGAAAGAACGGGGTGTTGGCAACATCAAGTTCCTCCAACACAAGACGACAAAGCGTATCCGTATAATCATGCGCCGTGACCAGGTTCTGAAAGTGTGTGCTAACCACTTCATCACCACCGACATGACGCTGAAGCCAAACGCCGGATCAGAGCGGTCGTGGGTGTGGAATGCCATGGACTGCTCGGACGAAGAGCCAGCTTTCGAGCAGTTTGCAGCCAGGTTCAAGACCGCAGAAGTTGCGGAGGAGTTCCACAAACGTTTCGAACAGTGCCAGGCCATGCTGATCGACGTCATGCCTCCCTCTCCCAGCAAAAACGCCGGTCCTTCCCGGGAGTCACAGCTCATCAACAGTGCAGAGAAGCTGAAGTCAGAACTGAAGTCGCTGAAAGAGCAGTTTGCCGCTGCTGGACCCGGCATGCACAGCCCTCGCGAAGCAGAAGAACAAGAGGCCGACACTCTGGCCTCCGTCTTACGCAAGGAACGAGCCGACACTCCCGGAAGCATCGACCGCCTGGAGTGGGACAACTACGACTTACGAGAAGACAGCAGCCACGACACTTCAAACCAGAGTTTCTTTGGCAGCACGTCCCAGACTGCTTCATTTTCATTCTCAGCATCTTTCGCAGACAGCAGGAACTTATCCCTAAACTTGAACAAGACTGAGCCCGAGGAAGACGAATATTACCAGGATGACGAAGAAGATAATATCCATTTCTCACCGATCGCCAACTTACCCGAGAACGTGGAGCACGTGACAGGGGAAGAGGACGACACAACGCTGTTTGAACATCGAGCCAAGCTCTACAGGTTCAATGTCTCCAATCAGGAGTGGAAGGAGCGTGGAGTCGGAGACATCAAAATTCTTCAGAACCTCTCGGACGGTCGGGTTCGCGTTGTCATGAGAAGGGAAAGGATCATGAAACTGTGCGCGAACCACCACATCACCACGGACATGAAACTCCAACCCAACAAGGGGTCAGATCGCTCCTGGGTCTGGACAGCCATGGATTTTGCAGACGAAGAATTGAAGCCTGAACAACTTGCTGTGAAGTTTAAGAGCAAAGAGGTGGCTGATGAGTTCCGGGATCGCTTCGAATTCGCTCAAGATCTTCTGCGAGAAGGGAAGATCTGTACTCCACCAACCTCTGGTACCAACACCCAACCCGGAACTCCGGAAATAGAGAAGCTCCCGGAAATGAACGAGGCAACCAGCAGGGCTCTGTCTCGACAAACACCAACGAGGTTGACCTTTGACATTGACGCAGGCAAGAAGCAGGATGCCTCGCCCAAGTCCGATGACCAAGCGACGCCACCAAAGGACGGTGGCGTGGTCTCACCATCAAAGTTCACATTAGCCGATAGTCAGCCGACCAAACCTACTATCATCTCTCCCTCAAAATGGACCTTCGGTTCACCGACTACTGACTCTTCCTCGACACAACCTGCCTTCAGCTTTGTACCCTCAACCCAGCCAGCTTTTAGTTTCGCCACCATTTCCAGTAGTACCACCCCCTTCTCCTTCACTCTGGGAAGTAGTAGCACTGGGGATTCCTTGTTCGGAGCTCCCACCACAACAGCCTTCGGGTTGACTTCCATTGCCGAGAGGTCCGAGGAAGCATCATCGGAAGAAGCATCTCCCACCAGAGGTTCTGTCCATTTCTTGTTCTTTATTTTGCCTTTATACATCTTCTATCAATCTTTATTTTACCCATAAACCATCCATCTGTAAGTCTTTCTGTCCAGCTATTTATACAATGTACATTGTGTTAAAATTTGAATATGTGACTTCTTATGTATGCTGACACCTGCTCCTTTTGTCTATTTAGTACACTGTTTCTCTTAATGCAAAGCACTGGTCACTTGAAATTTGAGAAGTTTCCCTCCTAATATAAAGTGGCTGGTGCCAATAGTGACTTTAAGATGGGGAGATTGGTGCAAACTTGTGAAAGCTAATTATATAAGATTTGTCATGTGTCATTTACCTGTCTTGTTCTAGAATATCCTTTGTTCCTAACAGCAGTTATATTTTGACTTCTAGAAAAAGCACCAACTGACCTATCCCAGAGGTCACCCGAAAAAGTACGGCAGCTTCCTGCCATGACCCCTGACCTGACCTCTGACCTCAGCGTGGAGATAATCTACGAGAAGGAACCCTCTGCGAGGCAGCTGACCCGCGCGCTGACCTACCGTCTCCCGTCCACGTTCTACCTCTACGAGGACCTTCCCGATCCAGAGGGTTACAGGCCAGAGGAGGACTTTGACGATTACGAGATTTGGTTTGACCAGTGGAAGGCAGGGAAGGCACTGAGGAAAGATGCCCCCCAGCCTTCTCAGTCAACGTCTACACCAGCCAAGACAACTCCCAGTGCCAGTACTGCTGTTGGCACCATACAGGGTGCTACTGGGGGTCAAGGTTTGTAAGATATATGTTTTTCCTGCCCTCGAAGTATAAAATAGGTCTTTTGCTACTGACGTGTGCAGATTTTATACAGATTTTAGACATGGTTATACCCTTAGGAGATCTAGTCTGTGTAATGCAAACTCTGCCGTCCGTGGCTTTAGTGGCCCCTCCCCGCAGGCCGGCTGGATGTTGGGCGGCCGGCAACCGTAAAGCAATTTAATCAGGCTATAGGTTTATCAGGCCATCCGTTTATGAGATGTTGAGATTGCTTGTAAGTAATTCATAATGAGTAAATGGCTTTATCTTTGCCAGGAGACAGGGTAATTCTGTATTGTCCTTATATGTTTTACAGAACCAACAGGCCTAGGGGGAGGTTCAACAGACGTGTTTGGTAGCACTTCTGTGGCCAGCTTGTCTTTTGCATCACTAGCATCGACTACTGATGGAGGCTTCGCTTTTGGAAAAACAGGTGGGCCTTGAATCTCGCCCTTTGCACATAATGCCATACGTACATGTAACATTATGTATACCACACTTTTGGTATATGCTAGCCATACCTACTAAGAAATACCATGCTACGGGGATGGATGCGCAACTGAGATTTCGAAAAATTTGAACTGATGACATTTTGTACGTAGGGTTTGTCTGTTTGTTTGGAACAGCATAACTCAGTCAAGAAGCTTTATATGCTATTTATTCAAGTCATCAACTTATTTGCATAATTGATGAGGAAGTGCTAGGCTTTTTTGTTAAGATAAGGCTGTCATTGAGTGGAGAATATGATCTAGCTACCGATATAATCCATGCAAATGAGACTCTAATTTGCAAAATCAATGAGTTAAACTGTATAATTTGTCCACCAACATCATTTGGCTTGTTTGCAAAATGTTCTTCTCCTGTTATTCTAGGCTCCTTCAGCTTTGCTGGGGCCGGGGCCACCCTGTTTTCAGGGGCCTCAGCAGAGGATGCCCATGGTGATGATGACCATGTGCCTGAAAATCACGACATCCACTTTGAGCCTATAGTCTCTCTGCCAAAGGTAACCTTTGTACACAGTAGTGTGGATATTCCTTCACTCTTCTTCAAAATAAAGGCTAGGTATGAACTAAAAGGTAACTTTTGCATAGCAAATCCATAATGTTTACCTTCGCATCTGGTCTTTTGTGCTAATTCCTACCCAAACACATTCACATATGGTCAGACAGGAGTCGTAATCCATCCTACTATAAAATTGCAACATGATGTACCCCAACACAGTTTACCATGGTGACAGACGTCTGGTTCAGGTCATTGACCTTATTGGATTGTAGGAGAAGAAGGAAAAGAGGAACAGAGCAAAAACAATGTGTGTAAACATAAAAAGGCACCTGACACACTATGCTACACACAAAAACCCTGCTGAAGTAGGACGGTAACACACTATGTTTTCAGAGTCCTGCAGGGCAGGTTTTACATGCATTTAATTTCTCTTAGGTGGATGTGAAAACAGGTGAGGAAGATGAAACAGTCATCTACAGCCAGAGGTCCCGTCTGTACCGCTGGGACAAGGACACCTCCCAGTGGAAGGAGCGCGGCCTCGGAGAGATGAAGATTCTTCAGCACAAACAGGTACAACCCTTTTCAGCTCTCACTCACTATCTGGTTTAGCGTCACTGACTCTGTTGTTCCCCGTCTTATGAGGTTTAGACACTGTTCGAAATACTTTTAAATTTTTGAGCCAGGTAGCACAGTGTGCTATGTTGGTAGAAATCATTATGAAACAAGTTTAAACTGCAATTTCCAAAACAACAAATTGGACTCACCCAAATTTTTGACTGTACAACTCCAGTTTCTGTCAAGGAATGAGCAATCCGCTGCTTCCGTGACGTCATGTAGATAACATGTGACTCCGTGAGCAGTGGATCATAGGTTGCAGAAAGTCTATGGCGCCCCCCGTCTCTGTTGAGGGATGGTTGTAATGCCCTGATGTAGATGGCCTCTTTAATCCCTCGTGCAGAGAAATCTGGTTGCTGTTTCATATGTTGTTGTTGTTGTTTACTTGTGTAGGAGACCCGTTTCCGGCTGGTGATGCGTCGTGAACAGGTGCTGAAGGTGTGCTGTAATCACATGATCAAACCTGACATGGACCTCAAACCCAACGCAGGGTCGGACAGGTCATGGGTCTGGAGCTCCATGGACTACTCAGGTAAGAAATGTCTACTTAGGATGTTTTGTATCTATCCAGGTAGTCTAAATTTTGTTGTGTTAAGTTGCAGCATAGCACAAGACTGCCTATGTTCAAGATTGTCCACAGAAACAGAGACCAAGTCATAATACATGTATGGGACATTGAATTCAAAGTACATTTTTATCAATATACATTGCTATTAAATCTAAGATATAAAGAACCTAAACTTAAGATCATGGAGATAGCATAATAGTTACCCAGGGACAGGGTCAGGGAATAGGACTCATACCAATGTTCAGGTTAATGAAGTAGTACTTCCTTTCTTTCTATCACAGTCATGCATATACATGCATGTTTGTGTATCATCGGATTGTTTCTCAGAGTACTTTTCATTGTGTTATTTCTGAATTTGTTGACCTCTCTCAGACTGTAACTACCATCTCAGGAACACAGTGGCTATGTTTCCAGCATATGTAATAATGTATGTTACATTTCCATCCACAGAGGAGCCCAAACTTGAGCAGTTTGCCATCAAGTTCAAGACCATTGAGTTAGCCCAGGCCTACAAAGACAAAGTCGAGGAGTGCAAGGCAATACTAGCAGAAGCAGAGAGCACATCGGGTGTGCCGGCCAGCTCAGATCAACCATCACCGGTAAAAGAAAACAGGCAGGATGCTTCAACGTCGCAGACACCTGAATCTTCACCTGTGAAAGGAAACAGGCAGCAGACTTTGGCGCCACAGACACCTGAGGTCCTGGAGAAATCTGAGACAGAGTCTCCAGAGAAGTCACCAGCAAAGGTGGTTGTTCAAGTATATAAAGGGCCAAATGAATGCCTTTCTGTGTGATAATCCACCACAGTAAAATATCACAGGATATCCCTAATGATAATTAATGATGGTTCCCGGGGAGGAGCAATGTCACATTTCTTGAATAGATTTGCCGACAGAAGTTGGCTTGGGTGAAAGAAAAATTCCAGTGCAAAAAAGAAACCCCGATAGAAAAAAGTCTAAAAGCACGCCAAAAATAACCCAAAACCTCTGCTTGGAGAGTATGTACATACTAGATATATTATAAACGGCTAATGTACAGTGCAGGAAGATTTACAGCTTTCAGGATAACATTTCAATTTGCAGATGTGCATTTACAGAAGTAAAAACTTTTTTTAGACTAGAAATAAGCCTTGAACATCATTAACACATTTTGTTTTGAGCCATACATTAATACATAAGCAATATGTCAATGGGTGGTTTAGGTTGCTCATGTTCACAAATTTATTCATACATGTATTTATATTTACTGCAGGGTTTTGGTGATCTGTTGAAGACAAAACCAGAAACGTCAGCAGCTAGTAGCACAGCAGACAGTGGGAGTGGGAGTCTCTCTTCTCTGTTCAAACCCAAAGCTGGTACGTGGGAGTGTGATGTCTGCATGGTGAACAACAACCCTGCTGAACAGACGGTATGCCCCGCATGCAATACGCCTAAACCTGGTACAGCTGTACAGGCACCGGCTGCACCAAGCAGCTCAGGACTATCCGGCTTTGTTTTCAACCAACCTGGGACAGCCTCCACGAGTTTCGGAGGGTTTGACCTCACCAAACCATCAGGGTCCACGTTTGGTCAGCCGCCGGCCTCGAGTGGGTCAGTTTTCGGGAAGGCTTCGTCGGGAACCGGAGTCGGTTTTACTTTCGGCAGTCCAGCAAAGCCAGCGGAAACCACAGGGTTCGTCTTTGGTGCTCCGAGCACGGGAACGAGTACTGCTGGGACCAGTCAGCCAACCGGTGCAGGGTTCCCTTTTGCGGTCAAGGCCAGTGAGACACCATTCAGTACTTCATCTCCGTTCTTCGGCCAACTGCAGGGAAAGGAGATGCCCAGTATAGGTGATTTGGCCAAACAGTCGCTCATGACAGCCGAGACTGGTACGAAGCCACTGACCTTTGCAGATGCCCTGAAGCAGAAAGCGACTGATTTCGCCCTCGGTGGACAGGATAGCACGAGTAGTACAGCTCCTCCCGGCACTCAGCTTGGCGGCACGTCCACCTCAGACACGTCCGTGACATCACTCTCCTTCCAGGAGATGGCTAACCAGGCTGGAGGGTTCAAGTTCACCTTCAGTCCTGAGAAGATTGTACCAGCGTCGAAGACCAGCGCTAAAAGTCCGCTGAAGAGCCCCATCAGGAGCCCGACCAAGGATGACGGGGAGTACTACGAGTCCGACGGTGGCGAAGACATCCACTTTGAGCCGATCGTCAAACTTCCCGAGAAGATCGAGCTCAAGACGGGAGAAGAGGATGAGGAGCAGCTGTTTAAGTACCGAGCCAAGCTGTTCCGCTGGGACACAGACTCCGGTCAGTGGAAGGAGCGAGGGATCGGAGACATCAAGATTCTCCGCCACAAGACGACCGACCGCTGCCGGGTGCTGATGAGGCGGGAGCAGGTCCTGAAGCTGTGTGCGAACCACCTCATCACGGGGGCGATGTCGCTACACCCCAACTCCGGGTCGGACCGCTCCTGGGTCTGGACGGCCACGGACGCGGCTGAAGACGAGGTGAAGACGGAGCAGTTCGCCGTTCGATTCAAACTCCCCGAAACGGCGGCCGAGTTCAAGACGCACTTCGACCGGTGCGTGGAAACAGCAAAGACATTTTCTTCCCCAGCCAAAGCAAGCCCAGAGAAAGGCACTACTGTTCAAAGCCCGTCATCACAGGACAGTCCCGGTGCTGAGGCAGCAGCGAGTCCAAAGACCCCAATCCGCAGCTGTGACCCCAAACTGGCGGCTACACTGCAGGACATCGAGACAGAAATTGCTGATGGTAAGTTGTTTTGTAATGTTTTGCTATAGACTGTCTCATCGCTTTTTTGTTTCCATTTTCCTTCTGGTGCATTCTTTTTTTCTTGATCATTCTTGATCGGATAGTTACATAATTTTGAGCTTATTGTCATTAGGCTTTCCCAAATCTGACCCTTAGTATGCACAGTTGTGGGACTTTTGTATTATTTTGATAGCCTTTACCAGACTGCTTAGTAACTACGCTGGCTAAATATACCGGGTAGGAGAATATTTGCCAGGGGAGTTTGGCTGCCTTGAAGGTTTGACTGGGCGGGGCAGCTTCAGAGGGAAACTACCTCCCACGGCCGGACTCCCTTGGCCAATTTTACTCTCTTTTTTGCCGAATTATACAATCCGTATTCCTGTAGAAAGGCCTGGTGGAGGCTATTATTTTAATGCTTTTAAAAAAAGCTGTTGATTGAGGGAAGTGATCTCTGATTGGAGATGACGTTTCTCCTCACCCCAGCAATCAAGGAGGATGATAATGACAACCGTGATGGTACCAATGAGTTGAATCCGTCCGGGGACGTTAGTACATGTAGCTCCGGGAATGTGGAGTCTGAAGGGTTTACATTGCTCAGCTCCCCAGCGCAGAACAGACAGTCAGAGGGACACTAAGGTAGACATTTGGATGTGGTGTCTGCTGGCCTCTTTTTGTTTCTTTCTTTCTGCATCCTTTGTGTCTGCAGTGACTGCATGTGGAATAAAAATATCTGTATCTGTACAGCCGGTATAACCGCCTTTCGGTGTAACACACCAGCTTCGTAGGCACGCTGGCTACATTACACCGATCGGCTTGTTACACCTAACCCTTGAACATCTAACTCTAGGCATTGTTTAAAGCTATCTAATGACAATGCCCCTACTGTACTTGGTGACAGCAAGTTCCACTCTGCAATAGTTCTAGGAAAGAATGAATTCTTGAATATGTAGGAAATCATACTGATTTTGCTTGCTGCTACTAGTATTGCTGTGTTTTGGGTCATTTGCAATGAAACTGATGCTCCTTAAACTACTGTACCACAGTACCAGTATCAGATGCTTGAGATCATTTCAGGCAAAGAACAACTTAGTGAGGGGTAAAATATAACCTTAAACTACATGTACATATATATGCCTGAAGTTAGATGTACCAAGGTTAGGCCAAGGAAAAAAGATTGTGTTTCCCGTTTCCCGACCCACCCTAGAAAAACCTGCCAACCCTAGCCTTTTTTGGGGTGGACCCCTGCATGGGACATAAATTTTTGACACAATTTCTGACACCCGAGTGATGAAACATTGTACAATTGGTTTTCTAACATTGACATTGACATTAAAAGTGTCCTCATGCAAGTTTTACTTTGTTTAACTACATATTCTATATGTTGGATCACTATAATTATAGATATCACCCAAGTCTAAAAAAAATAAAGAAAAAAGATAGTCCCTACCTACAGGCTATTCAAGCAGATATAACATAACTACCCTTTTTTTATCTCATTTTACAGGAAGCAGCCCTAAAACAGGCAGCAGTGATGGAACTCCAGTGTAGTCGCCCATGATGTTTGGTGCCAACCCAACAAGCTTTTCTTTAACTTACAAGCTTCATTATTATAATGTGATTAAGAATAGACCAATCACAAGACTACACCTAAAAGGTTTATGGTAATGAGGACATACTGCGTTGTGGTTGGTTACAGCAAACTTGCACACTAATGGTTAAGAATAAGTGATCTGATTCATGTTTTCTAGTAAAAAAATTCCTTTGTGGAAATAAACTGTATGCGAAATTCAAAGTCGTTAAAAGTTAGTGGGACCACAAAGAAATGTAAGGGAAGTACTCTCTTCAAGATGTGATCTGTGGAATGGATCCACCTCAAAGGTGATGCCCAAAAAAATAATCCCCATTTCTCTAGAAGGGTCGAATCTTATCTTAGAATGAAAAAAAAAATGTTCCGGAACAACCTTATGAAGGAAAACCAATAGACCCATTCGACTTTCACGGATCGCATAAACTGCATACGTCACAGGGGGGACATTTCGAATAGAAACTACAATGTACGTCACAGGGGGGACATTTCGAAAGTTCCTTTCATGGATCGCATAAACTGCATACGTCACAGAACAAAATAACATTAAATTGTTGTACAGAATGCCACCATACAAAGTTGATGCCTGTTTTCCTGTCATTTCCGCACATATTACCGAGAAAATAGATACTTACCTACCTTTTAGTAAAAAAATGATCTGCCAAGTTGGACACCGTGAGCGCAAGCCACGTTCGACTTCAGCGTTCTAGAACGACGTTCTTTCGAAATGTCCCCCCTGTGACCTAAGCAGTTTATGCGATCCGTGAGAGTCGAATGGGTCTATTGACTTGTGGATTTTTGTCTAAACG